AAGTTGTGCCCCGCGAGAACCTGTCCTGTCGTAGGGGACCGCGGGATGTACAGCTGGCGCACTCGGCCGGAGCGGCGACGGGTCGACGCGGGTTACCGTGTTGTCCCCAAGTTGTCTCTAAACGGTTGGAGGCTAAGTTTCTCCTGCGTGACGCGGCCGGGAGGGCCCTCGCTCACGCGGGGGCCGATGCGCTCGACAGGTGGCGCCATTGCCGGGGATAACGACAAACTACCGTTGTCCCTGGTGGAACGACACTCGGGAATGAAGTAAGTGAAAGATTGTGCCATAGTGGTTGTCTAAGAAAAAAGGTTAGTAATCTTTGAGCCTCTATAAATGTAAGGGAGGAACCTTAATAGATGTCACCAAAACTCCTAGACTGATTTCTTGGGTTTATGTTTCTAGATGGACGGTGCCGCAGGACRTCGCGACAACRTYGACGATGGGAGGAACGAYATTCARGAATTGGSACGGGTCATTCGRCAGTCGCAGCGAGAGCCCTACCCCAAGATTGATGTYMMATTGTTCGATGGGAATCATGCCTCTTCTTTGGCAGACAAGTTTGAGCAACTCAGGTATAGCAACGAATGGACGGATGAGAAGATGCTTCGCATGGTAAAAAGGTACTGTCAGGTGGGGTACCGAGACGAGATCGATGAGCTGGTGCAGATCTCTCGCGATTGGTTAGATTTTAAGGCGCGGTTGTTGAAGAAGTATCAGCTCAGCAATTGGTTGTTCGACCTGCAGGATTTGAGGGCGGTGGATCGTAAAAAGTTTGGTACAACCAAACAATTCTTGTCGGAGTTTGAGCGTGTGGCTCGCCTAGTCCCGGATTTGTCCGACAAAGATCGCTGCCTCATCTTCCTTGATAACTTCAACGACGTCGAACAGTCGAAATTGGTTGAAGGGATGCAAGGGAGGTATGACTGGACTAAGGTTCGGCAGAATGCGCTGGTGGGGAAGTTCGACGATATCCTCTACCGGCTGTTGAGGCAGCAAAAGGAGGAGCGGGAAAAGGTGAAGCTGGGAGAAGTAAAGGACGGTGAAATTTACAAAACTTTGATTTGCATGAGAGAAATGATGGAGGGCATGAAGGAGGAAAGGCTGAAGCTTCAAGTCATGTTGGCCAAAGAGAAAAATAGTCAGAGGAAGGGGAAAGAGCCGGCGGAAGAAGAAAGTGACAGTGAGAGCGAGGAAGAAAAGGAGCCGCCTCGCAAGTTGACAAAGGCGGAGAGGAAGGTCTTGAATCAAATTCAAGGCGGACAGGGGACTTCCCGTAAACAGGGGAAGAACGGTGGACAAAATAATCAAGGAGGGAGTGGCAATGCTGGCACTGGTTCGTCAGGACAAAGTTCCCAAGATCAAGGGCAGTTCCAGCCGCAGGGTGGAAGAGGCCGCAGTCGAGGCCGTGGAAACGGACAGCGAAGCCGTTGGGCGTGGCAGCAGGAAGCCACATGTAACTATTTCGCAGAAAAGGGCCATATTATGCGGTTTTGCCAACTCCTTTCGAAAGATGAGAAGAAAGGGATAGTCTTCACCACTATACATGGTGAAATCTTTGATTACGAAGGGAATTCGATCGACCCCAACATTGAAGGGGGTATGAGGAAGGGGGCGTATCGCCGAATGGGTCGTCCGCTACCGACAACGTTCCGGATTGCTTCTCCTGAAGAAGCACGGTTGGCCGAGGTCGAGGAGGTCATGGCGTCATTGCATATCTACGACTCACTGGTGGAGCCAGAAGGATTCAGGGAACAAGTAGTGGAACGAGCGCAAACCATCACTAGGCGGCTTGCCCGATGCCGGGACTCTATCATCCGACTTTATGTGGACATGGAGGAAGTCTGACCTGGATTGCCGGATGTCTTTCTCTTTGGCGAATGGGGTGATAAAAGGGAAGATGCGTCTGGCCAAGCAGGGACGTCGGCTCCGAGAGAAACATCCCAAACTGGGCCAATGGTAAGCACGATGCGATCTAGGCCTGTGCTAAAGAGGAGTGCCCCGACTGTAGCCGTTCAGACTCGGGTGCGGCGACGAAACGAACAACTTCAAAAGGAGAAAGAGTCTGAAAAGGCATCGGAAGAAGAGCCTATTTCCATTAGTGAGAACAAAGAGGACAATGAGGACGAGAAGTTGCGGGCCGAAGAGGAAGAACGGGCTCGTAGTCGTGCACTGGAAAGGGAGCCGGAGAAAGGGAAGGCCGAAGTAAGCGAGGAGGAGCCACGAAAGAAGAAGAATATTTATTCGATCCCCGTGGAGCAGGGGGTCGATATCGAGCAACTTGTTAATAAGATTCTGGAAAGTCAGCGCGACTTGGTCACGCTGAAGGAAATTTTGGCGGTATCGTCGAAAATTCGAGAAGAGTTTAAACAGCGGATAACTCGTAAGAGAGTCATGACTGTTAAGCTCGGCGAAGTCATTCCGCCGGAGGCTAACTGGTCCCCGCCTGGGACAAAGATGGATTGGCGAAGTGTGTCGACCGGCCATATGAAGGTCCAGATTGGACGACAGGAATACTCGGCACTTGTGGATGATGGAGTCGAGATGAACATCATTCGTGAGCGCCATGCCATCGAAGCTGGGTTGAAGATCAACCGAGATGACTATGGGTTTTTGGTGGGAGCTAGCGGATCAACTCCATTTTGCGGAACAGCCAGTGGCGTTCTCGTCACGATTGGAAAGGTCAAGGTCCGTTCGTATTTCTACGTGTTACTTAGAGTGGAACACGAGGTGCTTCTGGGAAGGGCATTTCGTGTCGATCGGAGAGCATCATCATTAACAAGCATGATGGAACCATGTTTGTAATCCTTTGTGATCCTGTCTGCGGTTATTACGAAGTGGTCAAGTGNGGAGAGAGAGAGAGAGAGAGAGAGAGAGAGAGAGAGAGAGAGAGAGAGAGAGAGAGAGAGAGAGAGAGAGAGAGAGAGAGAGCGCTGACTCAGTGTGGTGTGTGTAGGGATTGGGGAGAAAGAGAGTGAAATATGGAAAGAAATATCGATAGCCTGAAATACCTGGTGTAGGGCAGTTAATTATGAGGGCGCTCCAAAAAGAACAGACCGAGGGAGAATGTTGAGGAGGAAGATCTTGAGGAGGCAGAAGATGTGGTGGTGGAAGAGACGGACAAGGACAAAGAAGGTGCGAGGAAGTGTGTTGGGTGAAATGCGTTTTTCTCTCTCCTGCTTTCCCTCTCTCCTTCTTGCGCGTGTGTAACAGTGTTGAGATCTTAAAAAAATGGAGCGATCTTGATAACAAACGGCGCGTTTACGTCCAAGGATAAAGGAAAATAAGTATTTCTTACGTCGGGCGTTACGAAGGAAGGGCGGCCGATCGAGGGAGGAAGGGGGAGGTAGGGAGTAGAACGGCGGGAGGAATGGAAGTAGGAGGTCAGGTGGTGATCGGACTAAGGAAGGAAGGGGAGGGAGGAGATCGAGGGAAGGAGGAGGTCAGACAGAGATCAGGCGAACAAGGGGGGCGAGCGAAGGGGAATGAGGCGGCCAGGCGGACGGAGGCCAGGGGGAGGTTGAAGAGAAGGTGCGGAGGGGGCCTGTAGGAGGTCAGGTGGAGACCGGGCCAAGGAAGGAAGGGGAGGAATGAGATTGGGGGAAGGAGGAGGTCAGTGCAAATTAGGCGGAGGAAGGAGTAGGACGGAGGAGATAGAGGGGAGGTCAGGCGGAGAAAGGAAAGGGAGTCAGGTGGCTAGGCGAGGGAGGGCAGAGGGAGGTTTAAGAGAAGGTCCAGAGGAGGCCGGGAGAAAAGGGAGGCGGAAGGGGTAGGGCGAAGGGAGGACAGAAAGCAGAACGTAGTTCAGAGGTTGAGTGACGTATGGAGGAAGGGAAGAGGTAAGATGGAGACGAGCATGGGAAAAAGCGTGAAGAGGAAGAGGAGGAAGTGGAAGGAGGCCGGGAGGAAGGGGAAAGACAGCAGGGCGAAGTCGGGCGGAGGGGGGGCAGATGGAAGGAGGGAGGGCAGAGGTTAGGTGGGGTACGGAGCAAGGGAAGAGCTCAGGTAAAGGTGGGGGAGAGAGAGAGAGAGAGAGAGAGAGAGAGAGAGAGAGAGAGAGAGAGAGAGAGAGAGAGAGAGAGAGAGAGAAATGGATTGATGAGAGACGGAGAATGAAGAAGGGCGTGTGAGAATTGGGGAAAGGAGGGGAGAGAAGGGCAGCAGAAGCCACAGTAGGACGAGAGGAGGAAATAATTTGAAGAGGTGCAGAGCGATAGCCCGGGTGGAGTT